GCACTTGATCTCAGACGTGACACAACAAACATAACTTTATCCTCTTCTGCACTTTTACTGATTTGTAGACTCAGCTCTATCTCCTTAAGCCAACACATAGCTTTAAGAGTATCACGCTCACCAGAACACTTGGGAGGTTTACAAGCAAGAAACATTTTGATATCTCCTCCTTTTTGCACAGAGGATGAAGTAAGGGGTACAGATGTACCAGTTACCGTTGTACTAGCTCCGGCTTCCTCCTGATAATCAGGATTTCTTACCATTTCTGGATTATTTTGGGTTGTACGCCCCAACAAATTCACCAAACTTTCTTGGAACTTTCCCGACTCTGCTGCCAATATTTCTTGGGTAATAAATCTGGGATCAGGAATATTGTGTCCACCCCTTGCACTTCCTCTTCCATGACCAGACATTGAATTTTCTTGAACCGACAGTTCATGTTCTTGTCTAATACCTCTACCTCTTCCTCGACCCCTACTACGACTTCGTGTTTCTATCCTCATCACATTTTCTGGGTCCTCTCCTTGTGTTACGTTTCTTCTTCCCCTACCTCTTCCATAACCAGTAGAGGTCCTTTCTGATTGATTGGGATTATCTGCCATTTCTCAGTATCTAACTCTTTCTGTCACATTTAAACACACATGATTATTTTCATAATCAAAACATAATAACACATTCATCCTCAAGTCTATCCATAACTCAGATTATATCAATCATATATAATCTATCTTTCTCATAATAGGTTCAGCTATAACATATTCCCCTATTCATAGACCTAGTGAAACCTATTATCATAACTTTCCACACCTCAAGTTTAAGTCTAAGTATTTCGCAAATACCCAGATCCCTTATACTAAGGCTCTGATACCAATTGTAACAACCCACATATTCTATGTACAGATAATCCACATCATCATACTTATAACACAAAATGTAACATCGTTTACAAAATACAAATTAAGAAAAACTTTCTTAAAATACATTTATGAGTAACTAAATGTCATTCATTCTTAACTTTTCCCTTGTCTTTATCTTGCGAGGTATGATGACCTGCAAAACAGGTTAGTCCAACAACCGAGTGTTAGACCAAAAATGTCTAGTGAGTGTATAATTCCCAAACAGACAACATACTTTCCAAACAATAAGTTCAGAATCAAACATGTTCTGATACATAAACTTATTTATGTCTCTTGCGGTTACACCGCCATTTCATCTCTCTCGCGGTTACACCGCCATTTCATCTCTCTCGCGGTTACACCGCCATTTCATCTCTCTCACGGTTACACCGCCATTTCATCTCTCTCACGGTTACACCGCCATTTCATCTCTCTCACGGTTACACCGCCATTTCATCTCTCTCACGGTTACACCGCCATTACATTTCTCTCGCAGTTACACCGCCATTTCATCTAAAAAATGCTTCAACACATTAGCCGGATTTGAAATCCGGTCAGCCTTGTCCGGATATGAAATTCGGACAAATACTTAGAATATTAAGAGTAACCATCATCTCCGGTCAACAATCCGGACAACAGCTCGTATAAGCTTTGTCCGGTTAACACTTAGAATTAAGTCAATATCTTTGTCTGGATAACAAGTCCGGATAATACCCCGCTCACGACTTAACTGATTTAAAATAATTCGAACAATACATCGTCCAACCTTTGACCGATTTAGATGAGATCCGGTCACCTCTTGATCGGTTTAAGAAGAACTTCGGACACTCTTTATCCAGTTTAACACCTAACTATATATTTATGAAATGCAGTTCATAAATAACATATTCTAGAAGTAAAAGATGTAATAACCAATACTTTAAAGCAATATACACGGACTTTAAACAAAGAATCTTGATTCTGAATTCTCTTCTTCTTTTTCTACCAATCCGTATGATTCACTAAGAAATATTTCCTATTATAGAAAGTGTGTAAAACCTTTAATCTAATTCAACTTTCTATATATATAGTACTAAGGGAATGTGGTAGGCGGCACAACCAGCCGACCTCCCCCCCTTTCTTTTTAAAATTAATTCTCAAAATATTCACATAAACATAACACACACACACACACATATCTATACTACATTAATAACCATTTAGACCAAAATCTTAATTACAAACCACAAAGCTCAAAGTACTACCATTTTATACATAAATTTCAAAAAACTCTTAAAGACAAGTCATAAAGCACAATGTAAAACCATTTTATACATAAAGTTTAAAAAAACTATAAATTACAACTAGCAAAGCATAAATTACAACCACCAACACCACCAAAGTTAAAGCTTTGAGTTTCACTTTCCCTATTGAAGTTTTTTTCATCCCTTTTTACAGCTTTGTTCCACCCATTTAGTAACTTCAAACCATTCTTTCTTCCTTCTTGTTTCTTCCTTCCCTATTACGGCTCTCACCTGATAAAAAGATTCAGCTTTTCTTTATCGTAAACAACATCATCACTCAGAGGTTTCTGTATTTCGTGCTTTATTCAAGAAACCGATGGAAACAAAAGATACCTACATAAAACCGTGTTCATCAATCCCCCTCTTTCTCTCAATCACATTTGCATAGCAAGCTTCTTCTATTCGAATTTGATTTGAGCTTGAGGTAGCGTACGAAAACCCTAACCCTTGATTTCTGATCTCGATTTAGTATCTTCTGTATGCCCATCTACCCCTCTATGGAATATCGACACACCTTTCCTCACTGGCCAATTCCACCAGGTTTCCCTTTTCTCCTCTTATTATAGATGATTAAAGACTCAATCGTCTATGGTTGATAATTTTGAATTTCTTGGAACTAACGTATGATCATATGCTTATTTTGCAACTTGATGCAGGAAGTGGAATCGACACCCGGACTTGCTGAATCTAAGGGAAATTCAGTTGATTTAGGGTATTTTGACCTTTTTGGTAGACTGATATTGATATTATTCACGTTGTTTGGTTTTCTTTCTAATGTTTCTCAATGCTTCTATTAAACAGAATTGATTATCTTATTACATTTTGTTTCTACAGTTTGGAATATGAGAAGCCTATAGGCTGCTACAGTGCTTTAGTGCAGGTAAAGTAGTTGTTTTTATGTTTGGGTGTACAATATTGTCACACCCCGCTAAAGCGGAATCGCGAGGTATGATAGGTAGAATCTCATAGCAATAGTGTATAAACAACACAACCATACAATTAAAACATAAATACATCATAACTAAAGTTTACAATCCCAAATACAAGTTTGCAAAATAAACACAAAAGAAATTTTGAAAGCGATAAATGTGACAC